GACGTTACGTTTGAAAAAAAAACTGTGCATATTGTTCAGACAAAGTTTCAATTCGAATTAGTAGCGTTCTGGTTGATCAACAAAACGTTCGATGGAATATTTAGAGAATGACAAGTGTTTATTTTATACGAGGCGATAATGACTGCAATTTCCAGCAAAGCAAAGTTGTGGATGAAATGGCTGAGGACACTGTGCAACACACAAGCTTTAGCGCTGGGTTAGACCAGCTTTAGTTCGCCGCTGCGTTGGCCCAGCGACGAACTGAACGAAATCTCCCATCCATCCGCGGTCGACAAATTTCACCGAGTTTGTTTAACAAAAGCTTATTCGCACCCATAATATTAGGTGGCAGACCATTTCATGGACTGTAAGGCGGAACTTCTCCTAGTGTTTCAAATAGCAAATCTGACCAACATTTATCGTCATTCATTAAAGAAAGGACTGTGTAAGAGCTTCAATTGAACCCCTGTGCAAGGATTACTCTCAAATGACAGCGAATCAAATGAAGAAAGTGCTGGTCTTAAAACCAAAACCTCCTTTTTAGAGCATTTTTCCCAATTTGCACTAATTTCAATGTGTGCTTGATTACAATCTTATTACACAACCTCAAGAGACATATTTCAGTTTATAGCTGCCTTTTTCAGTTCAATCAGTAAGTATTATGGTATTCAATTCTTTTACAACGCCATCAAATTTTACCTGTTCTCCCATGAAATTCTCGACTTTTTGGAGACTCTACATCATTTATTCTCGTCTCAACTTCTTCCCTTTTTCTCCTCGGCGCGTGTTTTCGAGTAGTGAAACGTAATTTTGCTGAACTTAACACAGGAATCCACTGCTTATGTCAGTGATTGTCGCACGTCGGCGTGTCAAAAAGTTGGGACTTTTTGCATTAATATTTTCAAATTCAGTATTAAAAAATGAACTTTGTTAATTGTACAAAATACAGACTTCGTTAAAGAGGTGAGAAATTTTCTCATTTCGTGAATACTATGATCATCGAAGAAATTTCAGCACATTCTCGAGGAAAAAAAGCCACGTCTCTTTCGAATGCGAATATATTCTGCACTTCAACTCTCAGATCTATAACATCTCTCTGAATCATTCCATCTGATAATAATTTCTTCATAAGTGAACTATTGTCTAAACATGACATTGCTTACAACTATTCTGCCATACACACGTAATTATTGGATTGACCTGCGTCCAAATTAAATAAGGTCTTGTGCCTTTCAGAATTGCCGACTTGATACCAAACTTGCTTGGGAGCATAAAACCATTGACTTGATATATCTACAAGATTCACCATAACACTGTATAAGTCTGGCATGATTTAGTCACATCTACGATGCTTTCGCTTGATGTATAACTCAATCATGCACGACGCCAATTATGAATTTTTTGCGATGAAAATATCTCCACATCACTAATCACTAAAACGGAGGTAAATTATGGATTGATAAATAAATTGACTTCAAATGCAATGGACACGATTGCTTGAGGGCCACAGGTCTTTAGCTGCACATTCTCGCACACGGTTTGTACGCCTTCACAAGAAAAATTCGTAAATTCCCTTACCTCCTCCCTTCCTCCAACTTCAAACACGAAAATAAATGCACAGTACACTAGAATTGATTTTATAAAATGAGATTCTTGTTACTGTGGATCCTTAGTGATATGCAAAACTTTCGACATATCGCGGGAGTTTAATCCGCGTTTCACCCCCACCGAGGCGGGCGCAAGCTACCGCTACATCGCCGGGGCTATCGTTTTATTACCACTCTTTCTCCGATACAGTGCATCACAGCTGACAGAAACCAAGCACTAAAAGGTTTGGTCTGATATGAACATTTTGACATTATACCTAGTTAAGCTGGCTAACAAAGAAAGAGTGATAGCGGGGGGTGGTTTCAGTGGTGAAGTAGGAGGACATGCTTCCAGCCTGAATAAATGCGGGTACAATTCCCGATTGAAACCGGAAGTTCTGCATATCATTGAGCACCCTTGAATATGTAATTATGGCTCACAGAATGCCAAATCATAGATGAAACAGAAAACTGTCTTAGAGAAATATTATTGTAAGAGAATTCATCCTAAACTCGGCATGGATTAATTGACGCCCTCTTTTATCACTGATAAGCCAATGAGAGATTAGTACCAAGCTCTACTCAGCTAAAGGCGACTTTACCTTCTGCACAGCAGGAACAGTCTGAACTGAATTTTAACAGCCATTCGTCCTCACGATATGGGTCATCGTAGTCACATCGATTTAGATCTTCTGCAGTGGAACGTTGCTTCAACGAGTTTACCACTGATAAAAAAGATCACCGATTCTCCATGCAAAATCGTTATGAAAGTCGCCTTACAATAGCACTAGCTCGCTATGTGCAAGGCTTCTACAGAATAGGTTATAACAAATCATTATCTAAGGGCGAACAGTTTATCCGTTCTCTATAAAGACTCTTCCAAAAGAAATTACTTCATTCGACTAGTGCACTGCTCCTGGAGGCGTGATTCGACGTGATTACGAAGACCCATATCGAGGAGAAGAATAACTGTGGCTATTAGACTTGAATCAATTCCGATTTGAAGAAGACGGAGAGCATAAAAGTTAGCCAAATAAGGTCCGATATCAACCTCGTATAAGCTTACCTTCAATAGAAGCAGGCAAGCAAAAAAAACGATTCCGCTACCCAAACGAATTAGCGTAGAGAAAGATAATGTTAGAAGTTATCTTACCCCACGCCCTTTGATACCATGGTGGACGAAATGCGTTTTCCACGTTGTGCATCGTCCGTTTCACATCCCTTTTTGCTCCTCCTAAAAGATATGTAAAGTGAATACTTGACGGTGCGCAAGTTTTTCGTCAACATAGCTATAAAACAAATTGAATCATCTTCAACTTACTTGCTGCCTTTTCTGCATTTCGTTTTTCTTTCCGAAAAATTCGAACAAAACGATTTTCATCTGAAAGCAGATGATGGGATAAAGATAAAAAAACGGGTCGTTCCCGAATTTTTTTCGCACGAATGTTGTAATTGAATTTTTTATTTTAAAACAAGCTCTAACCAAAAGGCTATGATATGTTGAACAATATCCTAGTAGACTTAGCCAGACACTTAGATGTGGCCCCAGCACAGTCGCTCGCCTTCCATATGAAAAGGGTTATCAGAGCGATGTTTCGATAGACACCCCATGATTTGAGCGACTACCTCACACTGTAATGTTGACTTGTCAAGCTTGAGAGGCTGGGCAGGGCCACGGGCCACATCAACCGTACATCCCTGATATTGCTCCATCGGGTTATCATCTCTTCGCTTCTAAAGCAGCACATGCGAGAGAAAACTGACCTTACTGCATTCTCTGTTCGCCAGCTTTTTTTTTTTGAGAAGAAGGAATACAATCTTTTCCCACTAAACGGTTGCATGCCATTGATCATCATGTGATTATTTTACTGACTGGTTGATTTCTTTGGGGGATCAACAACTGAATTAACAAGGGTGTCAACATGCAAAAATAATTATGGGACAACCTAATAAAAGCGGGAGATGGTGAAAGAAGTCTGTCTTCCTCGGTATGAATCACGAAATCATATCGTGCTCTTTCCATTAGAAAAGTATTTACACATACGTGCGTAGAATGACTTTCACTCATTCACATACAAATATATGTAAATGCGCGGTCACACTCAAAAGTTACAAGCATATAAACACGAACACGCACACGCACAGATACACACACTCAAAAAAAAAACACACACACACACACATCGACTTACAGACACCTACACAGACAAGCAAGTGCACGTATATGTAAATATACATCAACACATGCACACGAAGGATTTAGAACGTAGTCCACAGCATGGGATGTGGGCCGCGGCTGAGTGGTTAGTGATGCAGGTGTGCTTGTTCGACCCCCTCCCCTATCAATCTGTTGCAATTAATCAACGAACGTCTTACGGAAATGGAAAGGTTGAAAGACCTTTGTATACGATGCATGCTGCCAATCAGTGCTAAAGTACTGGTATCCACCGGAGTAAAATGTGATAATGAGTCGCGTAAATTGTGTCATAAAATAATTTCGCAATATAAAATCGTAAAAAACGTAAGCTGCACAAAGTGTTTTATGTGAGGAAATATTGTCAAAACTAAGTGCCGATAATCCCGGAGGAAAAAATGTAGTTCAAATACTTCAGTGACTCAATAAAAATTATTCTGATTTAACAGTTAACGAAAGAAAATCACGTGAATGTTCTTACCTATTGCCATTGTCGATAAACAGTGAGTGAAGTGAGAAAAACTGGTCATGGGTTGAGACTATCTCACCACCCTAGAACCGCTTTCAGTCTAACGATTTCAACTCATATGGTGTTATGAAACGGAATTTGAGTAGTTATGATTGATTATCAACTCATTAGAATGGCACCATTGATAGAAAACGTAAGGAAACTATACGAAAAGATAAAACAACCATGGCATGCAAATTTATAAGACGATAGTAACGTAAAATTGTCATCAACCAACCATGAAAATGATCGTTTTAGTCTTAAAAACATTATGTAAGTAACACAATCGCTGTTTTCGAAAAAGCCATTCTGTCAGAATTATGATTTGAGCAAAAGCCTTATATATATATATATATATATATATATATATATATATATATATATATATTATATATATATATATGTTTTGACTATTGTTTGATGAATTAAAATCAGTTGTTAAAATGATCACCTTTCCAAAAATTTATCTTGATCTCGGTCGTAGAAGACCTCAAAATCCAGTGAGTAACTCTTGACCTCTGCGGCATAGTCTTCCTAAGAGAGATGGATTTGTGAAACTTCCATCTTAATCTATGAAATTTTTTGTTTTAGTGCCCTTTAGCAGTATAATGATGTCGTAATTATACACTAAGGAATTGATAATCAAACAGAATTCAGTTTATTTGACCGCCTCCTGCGACGTTATGATGTTTCAATATATCCAATGATGTGAAGTGTCAACTGGGGTTTGAACTCTCATTTCGCCCTATCCGGGGGCGCGTGCTGAACCGTTGCACTACCGACGCCCGTTTTGTCATCACTCTTTTTCAACGCTACAGCGCGTCTATCTGTCAGCAGCCAACTGTCAACGGTCTGGCGTGAGTGGTCGCTATCGACATTGAACTCTTTCTTGCTAACAGATGTTGAGTATTGATGATCAAACAGAATTTATTTTATGTGGTGTCAAAACGGGCCGTCGGTAGTCCAACGGTTCAGCACGCGTCCCCGGATAGGGTGAAATGTGGGTTTGAACTCCAGCTGGCGCAAGACTTTTTGCACACCACTCTACATCATTGGGTACACCTAGGGAATGTTGATTGGTATGTAAAGCATTCCTCCACCTCAATTCGACATGAGCACATAACTCACCTATTCATCTCTATCGGATAAATCTCCCCATAAAATTTCGATATTGCGTTATTGTTCTATAATCTAGAACAACATAAGGAATTGCAATATTGCTCACTGAGTGAAACATCAGATTTGAAAAATGCTTAATTCTGCTACCGATTTTATTAAATTTCGCATAATGTGTGTATGCACATGTGTCTAACTGACTATATTGTTGAACAGTAGGTACGTATGGGCAAAGGTTAGAGGTACTTTACAGCACACACGTGGTCATTGGTCCAAATCCCTATCTCAGGCCCACCAAGCCTTTCCAATCCTTTGAGGTCTGTAAACCAATACTATGCTTGCCTGAGACGATAGCAGTGCAGACTAGATATGTCGGTAGGCCACAGCGAGTCATTAAAAAGTGCCAGATATGCATTCAGTTATTTCAGACGATGCTTTGTGAAATTTGATTGTATGGTATATCACTCAGGAATTGATCAAAGCTAAGAGCTTCATCCTTTTATTGTTTAGCTGGCGCAGTGGAAACGTATCGCTGTGTTAGCATATAGTGCGTAGAAGTGATCCACGAAGCACTGAATAAAAGACAAAGAATGAAGTTTGTGAGGTTGATCATTCTCTGAAGGATGCGCCATGCATTCGATTTCATCAAACATTTTTGAGGTGATTGAACGCATATGTGGCCTCTACAGTGCCATCAAATCAGTGGTGTATTTTCTCTCAGAAAGGTCTGGTACCATTTTATCGACTCCGGAGGCATGGAAGGTTCGGTGTGCCTTGAGCGCGGGATGAAATCTTCGGCCACGGATGTGTTGCAGGATACCACTCACCACTGCACCGCAAGTGCCATTCAAAAGTAATTTCGCCACACAATATTATGCTGGTGAAAAGTGAATCTTTCGAAATCATGTGTTAATGAGACGTCGTTTTTTTTTTTGTGAAGAGCGGTCCTGTACACGAATGTGTCACTGGAGCAGTCAAACAGGTCTGAGAACCTCTTCCATGATTATAGTATTGCGGCGACAATTTTTAGAAAGATGAGGGGTCATGTTCTATAGCGTGTGTTCAACTATTTTTTTTCCCTTATCAGCGGTTTCACGTGATGTTGTTGACTGTCTACGTATCTGCGTTGTAACGTGACAGATGGAATAAAATTGAGGGTGATGAAATACCAGTTAAACCGTCTTGAAATCGGCAGTGTATGTATGCGAGGGTTAGTATTTCAACAGAGTGAACATTAAGAAGAAAGCTGATCTACTCAAAAAGAAGGCATTATTTCAGCAATAACAGGTCTTACCTAGGTTTGAGATAGACCACTGTTCAGAGAACAGTCTGCAATATTGTTAACTTTGATTAGATATTGATAAAATCTATACTAAATCGGACTTTTTTATTCAGCGAATACGACCTCTATTGTACTAATTTGTACAAAAGAAACGCACATTAAACCTCGTAATGGCCGAATAAAAAGTCACGGAATTATTCAATCAATACCGATGTTAATCGTTAGTTGGGCCTTGGAATTACTTCAAAATCTAGATTTTTCATGACAGCTTACATATTAGTGATGAAGGTGTCAATCAACTGAATATATTCTTGGATTCACTGCAATCTGACAGTTTCTCCCGAAGGAACCGAAAGAGCTTGTCTGTTGGAGACGACTCCCATTCGCCTCCCATGAACTTCCCAACCCCTTGATTGCAGGCTTTTGACCAATTTGACTTGTACAAATAGAGGTTTGCCAAATCGGCACTGCAGAAACAGGGATCTTATCCTCTACATCCACCTGCCTCTCTAGGAAGCACACGGTCGCTTTTGGTTCGCGTTTGGTTTCCCTATCCACCATCTGCGGACGCTTCATGTGCTCCCGCGACTATTCTCGCTTCGAGATACATCAAAGAGGGAGATCTGCGACATGCTACGTAGCCCCTGAAAAATGCACATAAGTGTTATTTTATCTCAGCTGATAGCTATCCTTTGCTGTTCGAACCACGACCAATAATAAAGTACCACATGAACAAAAATAGAAAGTTTCTTTTCCCATTTGAAGATACTTTTGAGCACACACTAATAGCTTTATAGGTTTCTCATTTTTCATGCATATCTTTCAAATGAGAACTTATGAAAAAAAATCCCTATATTCGTATCACCCCCTTAAGCGCTACGTTTTGAAAAAGACTCAGATCTGATGCCGAGACCTAACAAGTAAAGGGAGGTCTGTGATGATATTGGTATCGTCACTAAAATGTCTTCCTCACAAGCTTCTTCCATAATGCTAAAGTAACTGCATTCGCTCACTCCTTCCAAGTTCAGAAGCTGGTTCAATTGTGTATGACAAAAAGTCATACAAAACACAAATAAGTTCCCCTAGCATGTTAATACCCGCAACAATGTCTTGAATTCAACATTTTTCTGTGATCTCAGGAAGCCTTCCATTTCCTCGCCATATCAGTGGTTTGTGACCTGTTGGGAACCGCGTCGATTTTTTTTTTTCGGAGAATTTATATGTTGAATATTAGTGGCTATTTGTTAAGAGCAAATGGTGTCAGGCTTTAGAACATTTAAGACCCTGCATAATCAACTACTGCAGAAAAGAGTTATAGTCGACAAAACATTAGGACTTGAAGAGATCGAAAACTGCAGCGTATGCGAATGATAGATTAACAAGAAGATTCTGAGAAAGCGATTAAGACCTTTCCACATGTTATGCAGTCAAGAGCTTAAGTAATCAAAGAAAGATCAGACACAGAATTTTGCTCTGCCTAACAAACTTAGCAGACGGCTCGTAACTAAACTTCTACATTTCTCAGCACATTTGCAAGTAAAAATTTTCCAAGGTACTGTCTTTTGTGATAAAATAGCGACTGAAATTCTCTTCGGGATATTCTTCAACCGCAGAAGTAATGAATTTTCTCGTAACATCTTGAATGAACTCAGACGTGACTTTCCAAGAATGCTATATCATTGCTGTGGAACTTCAAAAACCACTAATGCTCTGTCAAAAAGTTTGTTTAAAAGATCATTCATTTGGCTCACTATGACGGACAAAATGCTAACAAAACCCGCTTGTTGAGAATAAAGCTATTTTCAACCTTTTCATTGAGCTTTTGTTATGAAAGTGTCTACCACGTCTTCTATGATTTTTCAAAAAAAAAAAACTCTCCAACAGAATACCTTCTTTAAGAGGACGTTAATTACAAGTTTCGTTAAAACGTCCATAGATAGCCTTCGAGAATGACCATCAAGGGCTACTTCTGAATGTTTGAACGAGGTTTGCAATGATTAGTCGATTAGAGAAGATATCATGCTACCATTTACAAGTCGCAAGGGCCTCGACTGTTGATAAACTCTGTCAGTGATAATTTCAGTTGACGAGGGCCTATCGTTCTTCGGCTCTCAATCCCAATGATCGAAGGTGAGTGGCCGAGAAAACGGCACTGATGATAATTGAACTACCAAAACACTCTTGCCTTCCGAGTTGTTTCCAGAGGTGTAATTGTAACCAAACCTCGGAAAGACGACCAAAAGCATTCTCTAAGTTTCCAAATGTTGTACTTGACAGTATTAAACTGTAATACATTCACATCGTTGTTAAGAATGTACGGAATGTTAAAGTTTCTATGAACGGGAGCATGTTCATTTGAATTTTTCAAAAATGTAAGTCAAATTCAAATAAGATCAATTTCATTGCGATTGAGAAATGCAAGCACACAATTTTTAGCGTTATAGATTTTTTTGGTCTCATTGAGTTTTCAAGCAAACTGAACAGGAAATACTACTCTATGGAAAAAAATTTTGAAGAAAATTACGATATGCAATCAGAAAACATCTTTAGTTGACCGCCTCTTGAGGTGGTATGATCTTACAATATGCCCAATGATGCAGAGTGGTGTGCAAAAACATTTGACTCAAGTGGGATTCGAACCCACATTAATTCTACCCGGGAGCGCATGCTGAAACCGTTGCACTACCGACGCCCACGATACCGCGAAATTCAAATTTCTATACGAATATCTATAATTGTACTCGATTTTGCGTTGGCTCTACTCCTCTCTAAATTACTACAAAGTCAATCGATGTTCTTAGAGTTTCAGGACTTCCATAGCACCATATCGGAAAACATTTCTTGGCAAATTGCTATGAGAACAGCATCAGTTGTGGATTACCATCAAAAAAAAGTGATAATACAACTGCACCCTGAGGCAATCCGAACTTACTTATTGCAATCAATTACTTTATCGTTATAATCTTTGTTGAATCTGATATCTTATAATTCTAATGTGGTTTGAAACAACTCTCAAGTAGCTCCTCAGCATTAAAAACTCATTTGTTGAAAATTCACAGTACTCATAAAACTTTGAGCTTCTTCTGCACTGAATAAATGGATATTCATCTAACATCTCAGTGTGCTAAGATGCTCGAAAATAATGTCGTATTTTTCAACCTCATTTTTCATGGATATGCTATAGCTATCAATTTCTCTTCAATTTCAAAACTCTAATATACTAAGTTGACGAAAAAGTTCCTTAATACCCGCGAAAAAAGCTCAAATTTTATGCCTGTTTCACGCAATAGTGGTTATTCTAAATTCTTGGTATTATCTTGAGAATATTCCCATAAAAAAGCAGCTGGATTGAGTCTACGGTGCGTTGAAGGAATAGTACCCGACACT